CTGCCCCCAGAGAGGTCCTGACCCGTGGATGGTAACATGAGTCTGTGAGACCTCAGGGTGCCCCCAGCCAACTCGGGGTCCTCAGCAATATTGAGAGCGCCTCCAGGCCGCCCTGCTTCACCGGTGGACGCACGGCTGCAGGACTGCAGGGGTCAAGTGCTGCCAGCAGGACGAGACGCTGAGATGGCAGGCTGCTTCCTCCAGGCCTGTGGAGGCAGATGAATCAAAGATTAGGAGTGCATAAGGCAAGGTGCTCCCTCATGTCCCAAGACCTGCCGGTCAGACGAGGGGCCCAGATCCAGCAAAGAGCTGAAGGGGGGTGGTGGACAGTGGTGGGAGGGCCACACTCATGAGACAACTACATTCTTGACTCACTGGCTGCTCACACAAGTGGTCAACCTGGCCACGATGACGTGGTCTCCCACCTCATCATCGAGGCTGATGTCCTCGCCAAGACCCGGACCCCGAGCACCCCAGGCACGAGCACCCCAGGTTGGCATCTACCCCAACCATCTCACCATCAACAGACGTGTTTTAGAAAATGCAAAAGGTACGGAAAGAACAGGGTGTGGGGTGCGTGAGGCGGCCAAGAAGCAAGGTTCCTGAAATGGCTTCACATGCGGCATCGCGAACCTTCCAGGTGCGTCAGGGTTTGACTGGTGCAGCCCCTTCCTCGGGGCACCAGTTCCCAGCCACCGGGTTGGTCCTGACTCCCAGCAAGCCCACAGGTGAGAGGAGACCTGCCCCTGTGGGTGCCAGAGGACCTGGCTGCTGCTTTGCCCCAGGGCATGCTGGGTAGTTGCTGACCTCACAAGGTCAGCAGCCCGAAGCTTCCCCAGCTCCCCTGCCAGTGGGGCTTCCTCATGGAGCTCAGGAGCCATTACTTATAGGTTGTTTTTTTTTTTTGGGGGGGGGGCATCGAGTCAGTTCAGAGCTATAACGGCCCGATGCACAACAGGAGGAAGCACCGCCCTGTCCTAGACCCTCTCCCCATTGCTCCGGTTCTTAACCAACGGCACACTGTCAGGCTAACCAAGAAAAAAGGAAGGAAGTTTTGACTTATCAAGAATGATCTAAGAAAGGTAGAATCCATCATTAGCCCTCTCTTTCCCCCCTAGACCCCCGCGGGGTATGTTCACGGCGGCCTACCTTTCTCTGGATCTTTGAAGAATTCTACCAATGCCTTCCGTCTCAAATTGGCCAAGCATGCGTTGATAATGATTGGTTATTAGGATGCAAAATTGGAAACAGAGGGAAAAAAGCAGGAGTTTGCATATGTGATCTTGGTGATAGAAACAACATTGGGGGTGGTGAGAAAAAAAATTTTAAGAAGAAGAAATAAATTAAGACACACAATGGGAGGGCATCCCAGACAGTTTTGCAAGACACTCACAGAGACGCTTCCAGGTGGAAGACACAGAAACAAGTGTGCTGCTCCGATGGAGAGGCTTACTAGCTACCGCGGAGCCCATGCCAGGGCTGACTGCGGAGCTGACCTTCCATGGCTGGTTGGTAAGTTCTGGTCGGAGTGGAAGTAAATGAAGACAAATTCATGACCCTGGAGAGAGCGCACCTGAATTTGGGGAGCATCGCATGGGCAGAGTCTAAAACCATATATGTATGTGTGTGTATTAATATACACGTGTGTTATACACAACATATCATATAGCACATTTTATATTGTATGTTATATGTTACAAAATATACATAATTCATTAAATAATTTACATTATACATTTTATATTATAAAAATTAATATATAATGTGTTATACTGTTAATATATATTATACAGATATATTTTATATGTAACACATATTATACTGATAATATATATTACACTGATATAGTATATATATCATGCTATGTATACTAGATTATTTTGTATGCTGTTATATATAATGCATGGTATATGATGTTGTATATACTATAAACAAATGTGTAATATAAACCATTGCATGATGTATGTTTATATACTATATGTAAGACATATTGTAAGACATAAGACATCTACTGTAATCGATGTCACTATCTTATAACTATAAATAAACTTATATACGGATATAATTAATATATTACAGTTTATAACTCAACTCCCCGCCATAGAGTCAGCTCTGGATCACAGTGACCTTCTACAGAAAGTTAAAACTGCCCTGTGAAATGCGCTTTACACAATTGATGTGTGTATGGATTGGGAAACAGTTGTATGAGCACCTAATAAAATGTTAAATAAAAAAACAAAACAAAACAAAACAAAAAAACTGCCCTGTGGGTGCACAGAATGGTAACACTCTCTCTCTCTATATATATACCTATGTATATGTATGTGTGTACATGTATGAGTATGTGTATGTGTGTAGCTGTATGTATATGTACATGTATATATGTATGTATATGTGTATCTATAGATGGATAACTTCATTATCAAACTCAATTTGTTCCAACGTCATCTTGGAACACTGAAAAGTTGAGAACTGCACACATTTTCCCCTAAGAAATAATGGAAAACTAAATAATTGGCTGCGAAGCCCAAATACGATTCTTGTAGATTCATTTTTCCAGGACTTCAAATCACGATGAAGGCGCTGTGCCTTCTCACCCATCACTGTCTCAGATGCACTATCACCACCAACTGCTTCTGGTGGATCTAACTCCACTGCCCCTTTCCAACCTCTCCCATCGTCTGATTTCTTTGTTCCGTGGTTCACGATTTTGCCCTTTTCGCTACCTTAATAAAGTCTTTTCAACAAGCACAGTGATGCATGGTTTGAAGGCACCACCTGTTGTCTGAGCAATAGTGGCGCTGAGACTAAAGCGCCCCACCCACTTCCTTTGAATCCTCAGTGAGACAGGACACTGACCCACTGCTGCCCTTACAGTCTGTTTTCCGGTCTGACTGTGGGGCAGTCACCAACCCGGGGCCAAGGGTGGTTTCCGGGCTGGGTTGTTTTGAGTTGTGAAAAGTTCAGGCTTGGAGCCCTTGACATGGGACGTCTCACTGTGTATCATAAAACCTGTGCAAAATACGATACCAGAGGTCTTAAAGGCTTGAAGGTAAACAAGTGGCCATCTAGCCGAGCAGCAACATGGAAGAAGCACACCAGCCTGTGTGATCATGAGGCGTCGAAGGTTGGGGGTCAGCACCACATGAGGAACTGTAGGAAAGGTCGCGGCGTGAGGAAGGTGGTGAACCACTGCTTTACAGCCTCCTGAAAGGGAGGTGCTTGACAGACTCTATGGAGCGGCTCAGCCTCAGAAACCAAACTGTGCGCAGGGCTGACTATGGACCACACCACCGGGTGCTGGTATGTAAGTTCAAGTGGAAAACTAAACATAGCCATGGGGCCAAAGCCCAACCTTGAATACACCTCTCGGGTGTAAATAACATCTCAGGAGTCGCTTTGCCACACCAAACCCTAAAGGCAGAGATGCACCAGCTGCAGGGTGATATCAAGAACATTCGGCTTCAAGGAAGCATTAAGCCATTCAATTGATAGTCACCAGGTGGGTGTCAGAGGAAACCCTCTCACCTCCTCTTGGTGCCCAAGGCCAGCGGAGCCCCGGTGGCATAGTGGTTACGTGTTAGGCTGTGATCCCCATGGTCCATGCGTCTAAACTACCAACCGCTCCTCAGGAGAAAGATGGGGCTTTCTACCCCCGTGGAGACTGACAGTCTCTCAAACCCACCAGGGAGGCTCTAGCCTGTCCTGCGGGTCGCCATGAGTGGGCATCCACTCGATGGCAGGGAGTTTGGCTGGTTAGCCTTGGGAAGCAAATGGAGACATGGAGCCAACGAGGTGGACAGAAACATTGGGAGGGCAGCTACTGAAAAGGACAGGGTCAAGGGCAC